AAATGGGATCTTTTAAAATCCGACTTTAGAAGTATAGCCATACAACATTCAAAATTAATAGCTTTAGACAAAAAAATAGAAAAAATGAGCTTGAGAATTTGATCTCAAAATATGACTATCTCTTATCTTCAAATGAAATAACTGATAATATGTTACATAATAGAGACATTTTACAAAATGAACTGAATCAAATATATCTTGATCAATCAAAAGGTCTCCAAGTTAGGTCTAGACAAAGATGGATTGAAGAGGGTGAGAGGTCTACTTCTTATTTTATTGGCTTAGAAAAATCCAGAGGAAATAAAAAGAACATTTCTCGTTTGATAAATGAACAAGGTAATATTTTAACTACTCAAGAAGACATTTTAAAAGAGGAAAAATCTTTCTTTTAGAAATTATATGGCAGAAAAAACATAGAGCAAAATTTAGATAGTTTTCTAGAAGGTACTCAGATACCAAAATTGTCACAAAAAGATAGTAAAATATGTGAAGGTAAACTAACAATTGAGGAATTGAAAAAATCTGTTAAGAAAATAAAAAAGAATCGCAGCCCTGGCTGTGATGGTATTTCTGTAGAATTTTATATCAAATTTTGGAACAAATTAAGTAAATTTTTATATGATGCTGTTCTTGAAATTTATGAACAGGGAGAAATGACTATATCTCAACGTAGAGGTATCATTACACTTGTTCAAAAAAGTGGAGATCCACTATACTTAAATAACTGGAGACCGATTAGTCTCTTATGTGTAGATTACAAGATTATAACACATGCAATTGCAAATAGACTAAAAAAGGTAATATCATATTTAGTTCATAATGACCAGGTAGGGTATGTCAAAGGTCGTTATATCGGTGAAGTTATTCGTAAAATAGAAGATATTATATATTATGCCAAAAGTAAAAACCTAGTGGGGTCAAGCATTCTGTGTGTAGACACCTCAAAAGCGTTTGATTCATTAGATTGGGTATTTTTAAACCAAGTTTTAGATAAATGTAATTTTGGAGAATATTTTAAAAAATGGATAAAAATCATGTACACTAATATAGAAAGCTGTATAGCGAATGTAAATGGATCTAAAAGTGAATATTTTAAGATTTATAGATCAGTTCGTCAGGGAGATCCAATCAGTTCGTATTTGTACATTCTATGTGCAGAAATCCTATCATGTAAGATACGTCAAGAAAAAAATGTTTGTGGTATCGAAACACCTGGTAAGAAAGAAATCAAAATTGCACAGTTAGCAGATGATACCACTTTATTTTTAAAAGATAATCAGTCTGTTGAAAACGTTCTTAAAATTTTAGATGATTTTGGAAAAGTATCTGGGTTAGTAATAAATAAAACAAAAACTGAAGCAATGTATATAGGAAATAACACACAAAACAGAGATATGAAATTTGCTGGTCTTAGCTGGAAAAATGATCCAGTTAAAGTCCTAGGTGTATACATATGTAATGATCAGAAACTAAGTAATCAAAAAAACTGGGATTTCAGGGTAAAAAAGTTTAAAGATCAATTAAAGAAGTGGCAGAAAAGAGATCTGACTATTCATGGAAAGATAACCATCGTAAAAACAAACGCATTGCCACAACTACTTTACTTAGCCTCTGTTATTACCATGCCAGAAAATGTACTTTTAGATTTAGAGAAAGCAATGTATAACTTTATATGGGATGGAAAACCTGATAAGGTTAAAAGAAAGACTTTAATTGGAAATTATAATCAAGGAGGTTACAAAATGATTGACTTGAAAAGTAAAATCAATAGTCTTTTATGTAAATGGGCCAAAAAGCTCATGGAAGAGAATAAAAATGACAACAAACAATCATGGAAAATTTTACCAAAATATTACCTTAGTAAAGTATGTAATTCAAATATTTTGTTACGAGCTAGTGAGTGTTACGACAATGTTGCTAAATATGTTCATAAAGATGCACCTTTATTTTATAAAAATGTTATCAGTTCTTGGATTAATTTTAACAACCAATCAACACAATTACAACAAGAAGTGGCTAATAGTCTATGGTTAAACAAGAATGTAAAATATAAACATAAGGTTTTATACTTAGAGAGATTAATGAAGAAAAATATATTCTCTTTAGATCACATATATGAAAATGACAATTTAATACCTCTACAATTGTTAAATGAAAAAACCAATTTAAACTGTATCTTAGAGTATAACATATTAAAGGGTATATCTCGATGTAAAACAACACAAGTAAAAACAGTAGATACAAAATACATTTATAATGTGTTTATTAAGAGTTTATTTCAAAACCCCACATCAACTGTAATAACAGATGTGCAAAATAGTGAATTTTATTGGACACTTGCACATCATTTGACAAAAGAAATAAAGTTGATTACATTTCAGTGGAAAATACTCCATAACATTGTTGTCACAAATAATAGTTTATTCAAAATGAAGAAAAAAGAAACCCCTCATTGTACAAAATGTGCTGATAATGTGCTAGATACTGTGAAGCACAGATTTGCATCATGTACTTCTATTCAACCTTTATGGGGTATTATTAAACAACACTTTATGTATAACATGTCAGAAGATGAAATAATACAAGGCATTTTTAAAGATGATGTTCAAACTAACAAGTTAAATTATATTATACTCATTGCAAAGTGGTGTATACAGGGTGTCCCGAAAGTATGGGGCCCCCCCTAGGCAGACATATACTAGTGTCATCATAGTATGTGTCATATATCATTTTAAAGCTTATCCAAAGTTACATTGATTCACCAAGTATCATGGTTCAACTCTTAAATGTGAAAAAATTACAGGCATTTCAAAATTTAGTGTTTGGTCAAAATTGAGTTCAATTTTACACCAAATCAATAGTCGTTGTGTCCTCCCGGGCCACTTTAACAGCAGCAATTATTTTCGGGTCGGATAGATATTGAGTTGGAAAAAGAGAACGGTGAGGGTAGAAACTCTTAGGAAACTCTTCTCAAGTTCCTTAACAGGTTTTAAGAGGGTTATAAAATGTCACACCCCTATTTGAAGGGCTTTTAAGGTCATATCTGAGGATAATTGCTACTGTGAACATGGCCAAGGGGGGACTCATTGACTAGTAATGTGGTGTAAAATTGAACTTTATTTTGACAAAACACTAACTTTTAAAATGACTGTAACTTTTTCCCATTTGGGAGTTCAACCATGATACTTGGCAAATCAATGTAACTTTGGATAAGCTTTAAAATGATATATGACACATACTATGATGACACTGGTATATGTCTGCCTAGGGGGGGGGGGGGCCCATACTTTCGGGACACCCTGTACATAAACATACTCTAGGGTTTTATAATACTATTGACTTGTACTATAATTTTAAAATAGAGCTCTCCAAGAGAAATATTATTATGTAATGCAACAGGTAACTTATGTAAACAATTTTTTAAATTGATGTAATCTTTTTAAAGTATCTGAAATAAAAAAGAATTTTAAATATAAAAAATAAACATTGTTGGAACAGTTCAATATGCATACTACATGGCCATTTCGTTTCGTTCCTTGTTGAAACGTTGAACACGCCTTTTACAGTAGGGTGTTTTTATTCAATCGGGAGCCATTTCGAAGGGCTGTAAATTGAATTATATTAGCATATTAAATAATCTCTTTCCAATTTGCTTTATTTCACAAAAATCTAGTCACTGTTGCTTATGTTATAGATTTTTAATGGTAGAAAAAATGTCAATCGCCAAGTAGTCTCAAAACACGTTTTTTACTGATCGAGAGAAAAACAGATTTCTTAAAAAACTGAAATTAATACATATAATATAATATAATGTATAATATAATAAATATGATATAATATAATAAATAATATATTTTTTTTACATATTCCTAAATGTTTACGCACACTGCATAATGATGATGTCTTCCAAATTTTAGATATCATTTTTTATTCTAAATTTTTTTTAATTTCAGTATTTCGATGTTTTTGCCGTTGCTAGGTGGTTGCTAGGCAACATTATGGTTATATCTTTTGGAATATTTTTATTCTCCCCAACCTCAAATTTTTTAATTTCGCCATTTCGATGTTTATGCTGTTGCTAGGTTGTTCTAGGCAACATTATGAACCGAAATTATACTGAAACAATACAAAGTTATACATTAAACATGTTCCTCAGGTTGGATATGAAAAAGGATCCAGACAGGATCCGAAACGTCCTGTTTAGTAAAATAAAGGTTGTTAAAAAAAAGTTATACATTCATACATCTGCATCCTAAGTCACTGATTGGCACTTGTTGTACATATTGAAATATGAATGCTCAAGACAAAAGCAAGTTAGCGATACCTAGTATCTTTAAAAGTGTGTAACTTCAGTTCTAGTATAAAGCTTTTACAATGATTTTAATTTTATTTGAAATATAATAGATTATTCTTTAAGGTGGCGAAACATTTTTTACCAGCCCCTCTCCCAATTGCGACTCTGTGCTTTAAAAAATGTTGCAATCATTAGGGTCAAACTACAGTATGCTGTGTATATTCTGACATGTACTGTATAAACACTTAATTTGATGCTACTTATTTAGCGAATTTCCTCAATTTTAAATATGGTTGCTATTTGATTTGGCAGATCCAGGACTGAAGTTCAATATTAGTGTCACTACGACGTGTATTTACTGAGAGTTCTCTAAAAAAAGTGGAATTGACATTTTGATAAATCTTAGGGAAAATGAGGCTCAGAAGGTTAATTCTAGAAAATATTCTCCCACTCTAGTAAATGGCCCTACCTAACTTTATATAATAGTTTACTACCATTTTTCTCTGGAGATTTTGGTCCAACAATAGGTCTCATTTATGATCCGACCAAGACCCCATACCCTCGGAACCTAGGGTCTTTGGTCTTAGGGACCAAAATCTCTATGGTACCATATCTATTTTTAAACTGGTTTACTTGAAATACTTCCGAGTCCATATATTCGTCAGCCGTTATCATATGACAGTCTCAACCAGTTAACAACAAACAGTTTTATTTGTGCTTTAATCAATCTATATTTTTAATCACTTCAAAATAGAGAAAAATCTTTCGTATTTATAAGATATTTAGCGCATTTAAAGTTCAATTCTTATTATTGCCAATATTGAAAATCGAGAAAATCGACAATTCATGTCCGAGTTATTATTTTTCACAATTTTCTTTATAACACTTGTCAAAGTCTCCATTGTATGCATTATCTTCATTTGCCATTTCGTCTTCACACTGATTGGTACAGCTGATCCTCTTTTCAAGCGTATCAGATAGTCTGAAAATACAGAAAGAAAATTATGAACTCTCGGAGATCTCTCAAAATCAGTTATTATTCAAGGGGCAATTTTTGCGCTAAAATTTACTTTGATACCAACTCGTTGATGTCACTCAATTTGCCGCAAAATATAATATTTGCCTCGAGAAACGAGCTGTTCACTCTTAGATTGTACCAGTAGAAATAAAACCTTGGTCTCAAAAACGAGTTGTTCAATCTTTTCATGTCCTTGCGAATGCAACTAGTGGCTACCTGAATTACCTATATTGACAAAACAGTATTTTGCAGCAAATTGGTATACATTGACGCGTCATTTGGCAATCGTGTTAAACCGTGTTTTTTTAAATTGTGAGCAGAAGGCAAGAAGAGATTTTTTGGCATTTTATTGCATGTTTAACCAGCAGGATAAATGTAGAATCAGATCATGAGAAAAAAGTTAGTTATTGTTTGCCAAAAAAGTCAAGCGGTGTTGCAGTTTTAAACCTGAGTGTAAATTGGCATAAATTGGTTTGGATGCAGTGCCTTCTATACCACGTCGTGTTTCAAGCTCCATGACTCGAGGAGTTGCCAAATTTAAGTTAAATCAGGTCCAAAACTCTATGAGATGCTTTGACATTGACGTTAATATCACGCGATAATAGCATTTATTATTTCTCTGTCAATCACATTTCACAGCATGTGATTTTTCGAGTATATATGATTTTAAGAGTGATAATATGATTTTATTTCCCAGGGAAAACAGTAGTATTATGGATTAAATTGTGTTATATTGTATTGTATCGTATTGCTTTGAATAGTATTGTATTGTATTGTGAATATCACAATGAAGTATACTGGTACAGCTATTTCACCCCATAAGGTAGACCTAAAATAAGTGTTTAACCCTAAAACAACACAGAGGTTAATCTACAAAACCGTCCGTTTGTGTCTCAATTTGATCTCCATTAATTCAGTGAATATATTTGAAAATATCAATTATCGCAAATTTACCCATGAATATGAAGAAAGTGTTACTCATTTTCTCCCCAACAATGCAGGGTTACTTCTAATTCAAGACTTACAGTTTCAACAAATCTGAATCCTCTACATCTCTCTGCGGGGAGGGAAGATCTCTTTTCTCACTGAAATGAAAATTTTAAACGGTGTATTTCTCAAGAGTTAGTTCCACACAATCCTGAACAATAATTAATTCGACTATCATTCACTTGATAAATGTATAAACGCAAGGTGCACACGCGTCTCGAACTCGCAACCTCGTGGTTACGGCCCCAATCGCCTGATAACATTACTTTGTTGAGTATGCACCTTTTTCAATGTACCCCATCAGTATGCACCTTATTCAATGTACCCCATGAAACATGTATCCATATCTTTTGCAATATACAGAGCGGGCCAAAAGATGTTCATATTTTTGATTTGGATAGTTTTTTGCCAACGCTGTATATGTGTATCTATCTTACAGTTAGTTACCCGCTGTCACAATTATTTTAAATGATATCCCAAATGAAAAGGAAAATGGCAATGAAGTAATATCAGTGTTTTACTTGAAACCTCACCTGGCCATGAGTCTTGCCAATAGTAAATCTGTTAACGCGGATCTTTCTCCTGCATATCTTGCTTCAGTAAGTGCACTGCAAAGGAGCACGGCTACCAGCCCAAGGTAAAGCACGGAACTTGACTGCATCTGAAATGAGCGTACATGCATTAAATACCCAGTAAATTACTTTGTCGGTTCATTAACCTGATTATTGTGTTGATTACTGCCGTTATGTATTGCTGTTTTTCAAGAACTGGTTGTAGTCTGGGGTGTCACTTTTACGTTAATGCAAAAAAATGTCAGGCCACGAAGGCGGCGTAAAAGAGCTAGCGATTCGTTAGCGATTCGTTGCTTCATTTATGTACTTATTTGTACTTTCTAGAACAAGAACATTGCAAGGGCCAAACCCACTAATGCAATTCATGTCTGGGTCACATTTGCTCCGATTCATCGGCTGGCGCACCCCCCACTGGGCATTTTGTCTAAAACTGAATATGATTTAAATAGATACTCAATCGGATGGGCGCCGGCGGATAATTCTGAGCAAATGTGATTCAGGCATTATAGATGACCTGCATAAAAATATTCGACCTACTTCTACAGAAGAAAAGATTCCATCGTTAGACATATTCTGAAATTAGAGGGTTTCGTTTTTAGGCGACCCTATATAGCATCTCAGCTCATTTTTAGGAAAATTGTCAAAAAGTAAAGTAAGTATTTTTTATTTTTTTAACAAGACTTATAAAACGGCAAACGTCCTGAAGAGTTTTACCCGTTGAATTGACAATAGGGGAAAATATTTCCTGCTGTTCACGAGGAGAAGAATTCATTCCAACCTTTGATGATTTCTCAAACAAAGTACCAAATAATCTTAAGATTGAAAAAATTGCGTTTATTTAGAATAAGAATCCAAAATGTCTTCTCGTGACTATTCCCAAAATATTTTCATTTATTTCAATTGATATTTTTTCTAATTGAACTTATTTCTACTATAATCTTTTCTCACATTAAGATTTTATATGCTGAATGTTGCTTTTAAAAGAAATAGTTGTTTCCCTTTTTTCAAGGTTATTTATTTCATATGAATCACATTTTACAAGTTAAGAACAGTTTGTATATAAAATATTACAAACAATGTGAATGAAACCCAAGCAAAGGTCATCAGACATTTTTGGCTTGGTATACAACAAACATAAAAAGAATATAAGTTATTCTCTATAATGGCGGAAGATTGATAATGAGAATGAGATGAAATGTAGAATGATGAACAGAATAAAGTAGTTCAAAAATCTTAAATCATCTTATCGATAAAATTTGCCGACAACTTTATAATAATTGAGTTTTGATCTCTTGTCAGATTCATTTCTAATTCATTTCAAAACCACTTTTATCTTGAAAGTTGAATGAGTTTCGGTCAGCCATAGATAAACTTAGTCGTTTCTAATTTGTGTGATTCAATTAATTATTTGTAACTATTTATTTTTTTTGCTCACGATATTGCGCAAATGAATTAATGTTTCAAAGTATAACGTTTACACTTACCTTGTATCGTTTTCAATCTCGAATAACTGCACTACAGCACACTGGACCAATTTATAAAATTGTGCAGATTATGAAATTGCCTTCCGAAAACCGGTTTTATAAGTCGTCCCTGGATGGCTTGATGTCGTGCCCAATATGTGCCATATGACCATGGGAAACTTAAAACAACGTCCAGGGTGATGTAAAGTTCGCCAAAAATAAGCCAACCAGAAACATACCCATATACAAACGCTGCGAGCGATAATGGACCGAACGGGTGCAACGGCGTGACCGGCCAGGTTCAACGGTTATTTTTGTATAATATCAATAACTAGCGTTAATATTCAAATCAAATTACCCCGCCTTCTGTACCATCTAAACAGTGTTAACATCTAGCGCATCGTGAGATACAGACATTCTCGGGAAGAATATTTTCTGTATTTCACTTGAATCATTGAATAACTTAATATATATTATTACCACTTTGCCGGGCCAGTTCTAGGGGTTTTAGTGCTAGTTTAGAAGGCATTCATTTTACTATATCGACCTGAGCAATATGTGATGTCATACTGGCGGTCAATACTGCCTGTCAAGAATGCATTTCTTGACCGGCAATTTTCTCTGGGAAATTGGATATCGTTCAGTGCGTAAGATTTTCTTGCTGTTTCAGTCCTGGTCATTAACGGTGGTAATAATACAAATAACGTCATTTCTGCGGGCAATGTAGTGAAATATTGGACATTGGGCCTTATGCCCTCGGTCCAATATTTCACTTTATTGCCCTTCGAAATGACGTTATTGTACTATATTCTAGTATCGTTTTGGATCATATTTAGTTTAGCATATACACAGGCTGGTATCGAAAAAATTGTCCGCTGTGACGGAGCGTGCTATTTTGCATAGAAACACTAGGAAATCCACACAATTTATTTTTTTACTCATATGTTTTGCTATATCAAAGAATATTACTGACTCCATGCAATGAATATATCATTTGCGGGTAACTTTAACTTTTGTTTGAAGTCCAACAACACAAAGAGTAAAAGCTATTGAAAACGGCGTCGGAGTATCATACTCCAAAATGTACCATTTCTTTTATTTCTTTTTAATGGTACATTATAGAGAAACGATAATATTTACATATGTTTTCAGCATAACTCTGAAGGTTTTAATGAGATCTTTATGTATTGGGTATTTTAATTTTTTTTATAAAAAATAATGTTTAAATTTTTTGTCCGCTGTGACGGAGCAGTTTCAAATCTGAAATACGTTAAGAATTTAGATTTATAATATATCTCTTTATAACTACACGTTAGAGGAGGGAGCGTATCAAATCTCTTTCGTAAAGTATTCTGAAAAATAAAACGGAATAAAAGTACACAATTCAAATTCTGAGATGTATAAACGACCACTCTTTAAGCTTCTTTTCTCAGTTTGTAGCAATCCAAGTTATGTATGGTAACTCATGAAAATGATAGTCAACTTTATTTCAGTATAGGGTATTTGCCTTTCGTTGTGCCTACTGTGGATCCATCACCTGACATGGTGATTTTTTATGGTAACTTATATACAGTAATATTATGTGGTAAAAGGATATACATCTGTCGGAATGCAGGATGTCTGTGCGCTATTTCGAATAAATTCATATTATCCCTATTTCTGTTACGCGGTAAACACGATACCAAAATATGCCATATTCCGCAACGAATATGTCATATTCACTTGCGGTGTATGACAGATTCACCTGCGGTATATGGCATACACACTAACCAATGAGAACGTGATACGGAAGTATGCACGATTGAACGAACAAGTAAAACTTTATAAATTATTATAATGATTACTGAATCAACAGTACAGTTTATTGAATACATCAACGTATGCAGAAGTATCACTCACCAATCTCACGTAATAAACTTACCCAATCAATCCAGGATTCATATATTAGTACTCGACGCACTGACAGTATTGGTAATCCAGCGTAGTTTTACATTCAGAGTCGATTCTCACAACCAATCAAACCGAGTGTTTCTGTATCACGTTTTTCACCTGCGGAATATGTCATATTCACCTGCTGTATATGGCATATTCCGCAAGTGAGTATGACATATTCTGAAGGTGAGTATCGGGTATTCACTGAATTCAATGCATCACATATTCACTGCGGAATATCGCATACTCATCTGCGGAATATGCCATATACCGCAGGTGAGTATGGCATATTCACCCGTATCACAAATACCGCGCAACCATGAATGTATGCCATATTCCGCGTAACAATTTACACTACACGTGATATTCTAAGACGTCTTGGCGAAAACGTATTAGAAATATTATGTTGAGTTTACACCATGTTGATTCATGTTGATTTCAGTACAAACCTCCGAAAAATGCTAAGAGTGGTCGTTTTTATATCTCAGATTTACATTACCCCAGATCTCTCAGAGGCTACTTCTCATAAGTTAGGAAAGTGATTTGTGACGTTCTCTCTTCTAAGGGTACTTTTAAAAGGTATAATTTGAATCTTAAATTCTTAACGTAGTTCACAGTTAAAACTGCTCCGTCACAGCTGACAAAAAATGTAAAAATTATTTTTTATAAAAAATATTAAAAATACCCAATACATCAAGATATCATTAATACCTTCAGAGTTATGCTGAAAACATATGTAAATATTATCGTGTCACTATATTGTACCATTAAAAAGAAATAAAAGAAATGGTACATTTTGGAGTATGATACTCCGACGCCGTTTTCAATAGCTTTTACTCTTAGCGTTGTTGGACTTCAAACAAAAGTTAAAGTTACCCACAAATGATATACCCATTGCATGGAGTGAGAAACTTTCTTTGGTATAGCAAAACATATGAGTAAAAAAATAAATTGTGTGAGTTTCTTAGTGTTTCTATGCAAAATAGCACGCTCCGTCACAGCGGACAAATTTTTCGATACCAGCCTGTGATATAGCCTTTATTAAAATGGCTCACTTACTATACATTGTAGTATACTCAATGTAATAATGTGATTTCAAAATCTTAATTTTCTTTCATTGATTACCTTCACTGTACCAAAACTAGTTACCTTGACGGAACGTCTATGTAACAAAATTGATGAACTTCCTGGATACGAATTTTTTGTTTTCTCGATTTAAACCTACTTAGAAGTTAAGCTGCGAATTATCATTTGGCACAAACTTAGACAATATAGTTTAGCTTTACGAAATGCTCTAGGTTTGGAAATTGAATTTTAAATGAAGCTGTAATTCATGCATTTAGACCATCGCTGTTGTTACATTGATCTAAGTTGTCAAAGTAACACACATTGGTAATATAACAGACCTTCGTCAATGTAACAAAATATGAATTGCAAATCCATTTACAAAACAAATTTCAAATCGGAGAATTTTATTAAAGCTAGAATATATTTTCTAGGTCTGTGCCAAATTACAATCTGCAACTTGACTTATAGGTAGGTTTAAATCGAGAAAACAAAAAAACTCGTAACCAGGAAGTTCATCCATTTTGTTACATTGACGTTCCGTCAAAGTAACTAGTTGTGGAACAGTGACCTTGAAACTTTTGGTGTCTTCTGATGGAAGGAAATAGTTTGGGAATATTCTACAAAATATGACTTAACTGCATGTATATGATATTTTGAAATCTAAACAGTTTATTGTATAACATTAAGATTCCAACATAAAAGGCAACAATATAACGTATCAAATTATTGTATTTTTAAACATGAAACACTGACAACGTTTTACCAAGCGATTCATTTTCTTGACCAATGACTTATTGGTTGAAATGGCTTGTAAAAGATAAAATACGACCTTTGTTCAGCGCATAGACGTCTTTCGATACGAGAGAAAGGGTCGATGGCAAATATACAAAAAAAAAACAGTTTGGAAGCTAGCTTTGGAAACAACAGCGCTCATTTTTCAAAATTGGCTTCGACCGAAATCGGTTCGATTCATTTAACACAAGCTATAAGGATACTCTTGCAACTGGAAATCATGGGACATGCCTCACGATTATGTTAATCCGCGCATTATGCATGCTATTCTCGCATATCTTTTATGAAATTGAAAACAAACTGAAAAATACGTAAATTCTTAAATATTTCAAGATTTTTTGCAAGAAGTAATTTTATGCCAAAACTATACGTGTAAATTACATTCTAAGCATAACACACTTTTTAGGGACAATCCGCAACTGAGAATCACGGCCGGATACTGCGTTCTGCGTATTTTAATGTGCATGCAAATGAGAAAAAAATGAAAAATACGTAAAACCTTAACATATTTCAACCTTTGTTTTGCAGAAAAGTCATTTTATGCCAAACCTATAGTGTGAATTGAATTGTAATCATAAATATCGATGAATTGGATCACTGTATCAATGCAGAACAGATTTGGTGTGAACTAAGCTTTATCAAATCGTATCGTTGACTTGTACTTTTGTATAATTCTGTGAAATACTGTTCTCCAACTAATATTCAATGCAAGTATATTTCGCGTTATCAGCTTTTCCAAATTTGAATTACTGAGTTGTGAACTTTGAATTGTGACCCTTTTTCTGTAAGTTAGTAATTCCTAGAAAATATCTGTCTAGACGCCCTTTGACATCTCATTCCACACTTCCAAACTGGTGATGAAGTAGATATGGAGGTTGTATGCAGGGACTTGAAGCACAACTAATACAAATGATTTATTCTTACAAATATGTATAAACAAGTGTACAAGTGAAACAACCAAAACAATGGAAACATCAAAACAAGATTGATCTACGAGTATCACCTAGAATATAGATCTATCTGAATTCAATGGCAATTTGTATGTCGCATATGCCGAGCATTGCAATGACCTTTTTCATCCTTGGTTTGGATTTTTGGTATCCTTGTCTTGGGAAATTGCCCTCTTAACTTCAATGTCATTCATGCTTATACTTTGCTTATTCGACACTTTTGTTTTAACCTTATTATTAGGAGGGTCATTTTGATTGAAATGTTTACCGAATGAATTTAAAGACACTGTGCTTAAATTATAGAATCTAATGTCATCTTGGATGAGGACGTATGCTCTTCGTGGTTATTGCGAGCGGTTGGCGTCACCGCTTCGTCTGAACGCCGTGTGCTCGTACCACCCTTTTACACTCTATGCAGACAGATCGCATAAAATAACCAATCGCATCATGCGCATGCGAGACTCGATAATACGCTTAATTAAGGATTAATGACAGTCACATTTAGTGCCTATAACTTTGAGTATAACATATAA